AAAATTAAAGTGCACTGCAATTTAATTGCAGCCCTGGTAGAAGCAAACTGCCTGAGACTAATGGAAAAATATTTCAGCTGTCATTTTTGGTTGCTGTAACACATGCTATTAATACCCAAGTTAAAGAAACTTTGTGAAGAAATTTTTGTGAAGAGTCTCTTTGTAACATGAATAACATATTAAGGTTTTTATAAAATTATGACTAATTTCCACATCTATTTCTAAGCCAAGCATTATAAAGGCTTAGAATAAGCATTTATTTTTTTTTCATAAAAGATGTTTTCAGGAATTTCCTGAGACTTTAAAATAACTTTGGGCCTCCCTGGTGGTGCAAGGGGTTAAGACGCAACCTATGAAGCTATCCACAGCCACTGCAGCATGAGTTCGATCCCCTGGCCAGCCTGTGAGCAACCCAAATGGCGCAGCAGACCTCTCCTGTTACACTCCTCCCCACAGCAGTGTACTTTGGTCAGTCTGCCTGTTCTGTTCTCCACTCTGTCTCTGGTGAATCCTATCACCACCACCACCACCCCCAGCACCTCTGGCCTATACCCCAGTTCTTGTATGCATAAATAAATCTTTTAAAAAAATAAAAAATAACTTTGGTTCCTTGTATGACAATAATACATTTATTACATAGAATAATCTACACCATAGAGAGAAGCAAGGGGAAACTAAAAATTGGTCATAATCTCATTATCAATAGCTAACAACTTCATATTTTGGTGCATTTTTTTGTCCCTCCACCCTAATCACCAATCTGTTCTGTATCTGATTTCTTAAGTCCTACATATAAATGAGATTATGGTATTTGTCTTTCTATTTGACTTATTTCACTTACCACAGCCCTCAAGTTCCATTCATGCTATTGTAAATGATGAGACTTCCTTTTCATGGCTGAATATTCCTTATATACTTTTAAAGTAACTAATATTAGCACCCATACATAATTTACTAACAACTCAGCAAGTATATTAATGAAATGGATTACTAAAAACAGTTGGATATGCTTACTAATTGGATAGATTTGTTTTTCTGGATTTCTCTGTGGTTAGTCTTTGTTGGATCATAAAATCTTTGGATGTTTCATTAGCCTGACTTTTTTTCCTCCCAATTTTTGACTGGGTGGTATAATTAGGGGAAGAAAAATGGTGTACAGATATGTATGTGAGATGTTTAATATTTATCTTTTTTACTACACATGTATTTATACATGTTTGTGTAGGGATGAACAGCTGATTCAAGGGCAGGTGTTTTGACTGATATATAGCTTGGGAGAAGGGAAACTGGCAGAAGAAAATCTATTTTAGTACAAAAAAAAATTGTTCTTATAATCACATAATTCCACAAATATTTACTAAACTTCTTAAATTTACAAAATATTATTCTAGGTACTAGGCAATACAATAATAAACAAATCAGCTATGATACCTGCTCTCATGGAGTTTACATTCCAAGGTGCAGGACAAACATTAAACAAACTACATAATTACTTCATAATAACTATGATGAGTGCCACTGAAGCATACTGAAACATGAAGTATATGAAGAATGAGGATATATAAGGAGAGGAGCAAAGGATATTTGACCTGACTTTTAAAGGAAAATGATTTAACTGGTGATGATGGGTAATGAGGACCATAATTCCCAGTTATTACATGAGCAATTGAACAAAGGTTTGTTGGTAGGACTACAGTATGTTCAAGAAGTGAAAAGATGAATGTGAGTAGTATACAGCAAGCAATATGGATGGTGGTGTTGGCTAGGACTGCTGTGGTATGCAGGGATGAAGAGTATGCAAGGACTTATAGACTGTGTTAATCATTTTGTTCTTTATCCTAAAACTACGTAAGTCCACTAGAGTCTTAAGCACCCACCAACCGTAGGGAACAGGTTGGTATTGCAGAAAGACTTCTCGTCTGGCCTTTAGACCTAAAGCAACAATTAGAGGACTTTGAGGAAATTATTAAACTCTAGGATTGACTCCTTAACATAAATTGTTAAGTTTGGACTAGAGGAGCCTTGTGGTTTCTTTTCACTCTAAAATTCTATCAATTCCTTAACTTCTCATCTCTGAAAATAAATACCTTTGGATCTATTTAAGAGCTATAATTTAACCTATGTAATAGTAATCTAGAGCTGAAGTTTGATTATCTCAAAGTGCAACAGGGTGGTCCCCAGGAAAGGGGGAGGTTCCCTGCCCCACCCAAGGGAGTGTGGAGCTGAGCAGGAAGGGGAGAAGCTGAAGAAGAGACTAAGGAAGGAAGCAGGATGGAGCCAGGAGACCTGGAGGAGGCGCATGGAGCCTAGAGACACATAAAGAAACTGCGCTTGTCTTTTGGTCGTGGACTGGGTGACACAGATGTGGGTGAGACCTGTGGGGAGGTGACAATGGCAGCTTTTATCTTGATGTTGATTTTGCTCTTTTCCTTCCGGGCTTGTCCGGTTGTTTGTGACCCTTTTCTGTGGGTCCCCACTGGAAGATGCTTTAGACTTGTAGCAGGCTTTGGGGCCTTGTTCTGGGCCGATCCCATATGGATGGACTTTTACCCACGAGGGGACGGGTAACTTTGGGTGCTTCATTTAGAAACTAGACTCTTTGCCTTACCTGTATTGTTTCCTAGTTTTATTAAAGATCCTTCCCATTAGTCTCATGTGTTTTGTGTTGATGCGGCGGATGGCAGAACCCATTTAGTATAGGCAGGTTTGCGGGGTTTGGGCTGCCCCTCTCCCTGTCCTATAACAAAAGGAAGCTGTATGTCTTCTTCAAGATCCAGGAGGGAATAAGATAGCAATGATCAGATACAAAGTAAGTCTAATCAATGCTTATAAAGATAAAGCAAGCAGGCAGAAAGAGGGTGTGATGGGGAAATTCAGCTCACTATAATCATTTAACTTCAATGCAGTCAGTGGCAGTCAAGGGGTAAGTTTAAAAGTGGCGATTCATCAGTAGCTCCAATTTCCTTTCCCCAGCATTCTGACATGTATAATTGACATTTCTTCAAGCTTATGTGTTCTGCAAAGGGTTTCAAGCAACCCATCCACTGAAATTTGCTCAAATTAAACCTCTTCTATTTACAAACTCTGGAGCAATAAGTGAAGGCAATTCTGTAAACTAAAGGTCTTGAGTGTGTGTGTGCGCGCGCGCGGGCGCGCTGTGGGGGAAAGAGTAGGTAGAAATTAAAAATTTAAAAAGTAATGCTATTTTGGGGCATTTGGGTTGTTTCCATAGCTTAGCTATTGTAAATAGTGCTGCTATAAACATAGGGGTGCAGGTACCCTTTTGAATTAATGTTTCTGTGCCCTTTGGGTAAATACCTAGGAATGGAATTGCTGGATCAAAATAAAAAAAAAAAATGAAATGGATCTAGTCATTGGAGGTTTTAACAAAGACTGGAATAATTAGTAACGGATGTTAGCGATATTTCCTCTAGATGAGAAATTGAATTAAAAGGCCCCTTTCCATTTTAAAATTCTGTAATTCTCATGGAAAACATACAACAGAAATTTACTTCCAAAACAATATGAAACAAATACTTAGGAATTAAGGCTTAGGAAAGAATCGAGCGCTAAAAAAAAAAAAAAAAGAAAAGAAAAGTAATGCCAAATAGAATGTTGGAGATCAGCTCTCGAGCACACTCCTACTTTTACATAACATCTTCGAGGTAAGGTGACCTTCCCAAGGTGGAAAGTGCCTCGCCACAGTCCGAGGGTCCTTCTGTAACAGGGTGGTCCCCAGGAAAGGGGGAGGTTCCAGGTTCCCTGCCCCACCCAAGGAAGGGTGGAGCTGAGCAGGAAGAGGAGAAGCTGGAGAAGAGACTGAGGAAGGAAGCAGGATGGAGCCAGGAGACCTGGAGGAGGCGCGTGGAGCCTAGAGACACGTGAAGAAACTGCGCTTGTCTTTTGGTCGTGGACTGGGTGACACAGATGTGGGTGAGACCCGTGGGGAGGTGACAATGGCAGCTTTTATCTTGATGTTGATTTTGCTCTTTTCCTTCCGGGCTTGTCCGGTTGTTTGTGACCCTTTTCTGTGGGTCCCCACTGGAAGATGCTTTAGTCTTGTGGCAGGCTTTGGGGCCTTGCTTTGGGCCAATCCCATTTGGATGGACTTTTACCCACGAGGGGACGGGTAACTTTGGGTGCTTCATTTAAAAAATAGACTCTTTGCCTTACCTGTATTGTTTCCTAGTTTTATTAAAGTTCCTTCCCATTAAAGTGTTATATGTTTTGTGTTGATGCGGCGGATGGCAGAACCCATTTAGAATAGGCAGGTTTGCGGGGTTTGGGCTGCCCCTCTCCCTGTCCTATAACACTTCCACGACCCTCGCTGGACTTCTGGGCCTCCCTTTAACTGTGGAGCAGCACCCGCAGCCCTCTTCCAGCCCGCAGACGTGGGCAGGGTCAGCCTCGCTTTGCCTGGCTGCCTGGGGCTCTCGGTCCTTCTCGCGGCCGCCGCCCCCCTTGGTTCTCTCTTACTGCCCCTTTGACTCTGGGGAGGACACCCGCTGCGAGTGGGCACAGCACCCACACGAGCCTTGGGCGTTGAGACGCAGGTTCTGCTGAATGAAGAGATGCCACAGCGGGCCCGGGCAAAGTGGTCAGAGCAGGTGACCGAGCTGGTCACTGCACCAGCTGGCGCGGCGGCCACGCACGAAGCGGCCCCAGAGCCGTCGCGCCGCCCAGCCCTAGAGGAGCGGAACAGCAACCTTCCTCACTTGGTGGCGCTGCCGCAAGTGTGCTGCCACGCAGCGGCCCGGCACGGCCGCGGCCCGGGTGCGGAGGACCTGCGGCCCCCGGCCTCCGCCCGCGCCCACACTGGCCGCGTCCGGCCAGATTCCTTCCCGCGCCTCCGCTACCGGAAGTGCCGACCCAGACCCACAGGCCGGGTCCTCTCCTGAGAGAGCGCGAGCCCAGGCGGGGGGATACAAATTTCGCGCGGCTCGAGCTGAGGGGAGCCCTAAAGAGGGACGGACCGGAAGTGGCGGTTGTCATAGCTACCAAGGTGGTCGGCCTCCCTGTGGTGTCCTCCTCCTCATCCTCCAGCTGTTTTTACGAGCCAGGAAAATAGAAGGAGGAAGTGCTGACGCAGCAACAGCCCCCCTTCTCCCACCCCTCCCCCCCAATATAGCCGGAGGCTCGAACGCCGGAGTTGGTCAGTGAATTTCAGAGGACCAGACCGGAAATGATGGTTTCCATGGTAACCCCCGAGCGGGTTGCCGGGGAGATGACCCCTTTCAGTCTTTTCGAATCTCCGCTGTAGCGTCACTTCGCAGGCAGATCCAACAGATCCTGGACTATCTGCTGCCATGATTCCTGGGAAATACCGCTCGGTTTCTGGCCGGGCTGCGAACAACGTATGTTGGGGCTTCTACTTTCTCTTCTCGTTCATATCGTCCTTTCTGGGTGGCGTCTTTGTCTTAGGTGATGGGCTGTGTTATTAGGGCTGGGATTCCTGGGCTTACTCAAGCTTTTGTCTGACTGACCGAGGTTTTTAGATTCGTGGACCGGACCTAGGTTCTTGGAGAGTATTTATTATTGTGTGATGGGGATTCAAAGCCTTGTCCAGGATCTGTGTATCCCAGAAGGTGGAGCTGGTCTGCTGTGTAAAGCTCAGTTCATTTAAATTCCTTTAGCCAGTCAATTCCTTTTTTTTTTTTTTTAATTAAGAAGAGAGTTTATTATTGACAGACACTTCCATGTCCTTCACCAGCTCACTGAGATATTATTTATTAGACCTGAGATGGAAAGTGTTAAAAGCCTGAGGTGCTAAGCAGAGGGTTAAATTACTGCAGACATTTTGGAAAATAAATCATAGAAAAACCTTGTAATGCTTAGTTGTAATTTCCTTGTTTTCAAAAAATCCTCAGAATATGGTGATGTACCAGAAACAAGTCCCCAAAATGAGCATTTTGCTTTATTCTAATTATTTTGTTGCATCTTTTCTTGTACTATTTTTGGCGAGAAGTGGGTATATGTGTGTGTATTTAAGTTAAGAGCGTATTTTATGGCTTAATTTTTACATTGCAGGTGAACTGTGGGCTTCATCTGGTTATTCAAACTTCATCCCTTCCTGAAAAAAACAAAGTAAGATTTAAGCAGATTTGTATTGCAACTGAAGCTAAATTGTTTTATATTCTACACAAATAGCATGATTTAAACAGTAGAATGTGAGCTGGAAATTTTTAGCATATTTAATCTCCAATGTCAAGCTAATTTTTATTTTCTGCCTATATAAAGACAAAAAACCTCTTTTGAAAATGCAATTATATTTCACCAGTTACAAGAGGTCAGGATTTTTTTTTTTTTTTGTTACACTTAAACATTCCAGAATCCTTAAAATTGATGGCACATCATAGTTACTTGAGAATATTTTCTTTCTTTATAGTGGGTAAAACAATGGTATGTCTTACTCCTGACAGAACCTTAGAATGGATGAAATGTGGAAATTTGGGGGGATATGTCTATACATGCCATTTAAAATCACAGAAAAAAAAACTGTTAGTGGAAATATATTAGGGTTAATGCTGTTTAGCATTTCAGATATGAAACATCACATTCTTTTTTCCTAAACTATTTGCCCATAATTGCCCTAGTATTTCCAGTTTCTGACTTTTAATTTGATTTTTGAGATACACGATTTTCTTATCCCTCACCTAAGCAATCATATTCCAGCTGCCTCACAACTCACTCAAAAGACAACACAACTTTACTTTTTTTTTAACAAATTGGATTCTCCAATCATTACAAGTCAGGATTTTCCTAAAAATATTGCTAAATACATGTCACTGGAGAAACTCAAAAGTAAATGGCAGAATTTATAGATACACAGCTTGAGGAGGGTAAGGAAAGGCATAAAGAGGGTAGGTGGAAGGACATCATTGGTTTAGGAGGCAGCAATTGATTGCATTATGTGGATGAAAACAAACGCTTGGAACAGAGACCAGGTGATAATGTGGTTAATTAGATTAATTGAAATGAGTACTGTAATTTGGCTTAATGGATTTCCTTCTAGTTTTCCTAACATTTCCTATTGTTGCATCATGGTATATATTTCTAGAAACTATGTACGTCGCTAAATTCTTTCCAAAGCATTTCTTTTCTCTTGTGTGAACATATGTTTTGAGAAAATACCTATAGTAAATATAATTCACAAAGACATAATGTAAATGCTATTATGTTTATAGTATGAATGAACCAGAAGCATCATAATTCTTTCAAGATATATATTTAAAGTTTTTTGTGACTCATCTTGAGAGGTGATTTTGGTTTTCCCACTCTTCTTGCCAGGTAATTACTTAAAATAATTTGGAAAAAAACTTTCGTAGAAGTCTGGACTCTTAAAAGGAATCTAATAATAAAAACTGTGGTTTTATTCAACAGAATTCACTTTTCATTTTGTGTTTTTTATTTTCATTTCTGAAAATGATTCTTTTAATCATTATACTTGCAAGGTTGTGGAGGATGGAAATATGTCAGATTGGCACATGGTTTCATTGGACTGTGTTATTAACTCTGATTTTTTTGTGTGTGTGATAATAAAATACACAAAGCAAAAATTTACTGTTCTAACTTGTATAAATAAAAGGCATCAAATACATTCACAGTGTTGTGAAGCTATGATGACCATTTAGTTTTAGGACTTGACATCTCTGGAAAGGGAATCCCTGTACCTATTAAGGGGTCACTTCTCACTCCCTTCCACCTACCTTCTAGAAACCTCAAGTCTGCTTTCTGTCTCTATATATCTGCCTATTCTGGATAGTTCATATAATAAAATGCTACAATATGCTACATTTTGTGTCTGATTCATTTTACTTAGTGTGATGTTTTCAAGTTTCGTCTATGTTGTAGCATGTGTCAGTTATAATTATCTTCAGTACTTATTATTAAAATCTTCAAATGTTTTTATCTTAAATAATGTTTTTTAGGTTGAATTCAGGATAAATAAAGAAGCACCATCATTTCCTGGTCGACTCTTACAACATGACCTTGAAAGGAACTACTCAAGTAGGCAAGGTATTTTCAGTGAGTAAGACCAGACGTGGTTTCTTTTCTTTGTTTAATAATGTTGATGCTCTAGATTTAAATAGCCTTGAGTTAAAGGTGAAATGGCTCAGTGGTTAACAGTTGGTGTGCTATTTGTTTGAATCAGATTGGGTTTATATATGCAGCATAGTTATTTCCATGACAGAAAAAAATATTGTATTTTATTTTGGGGGTGGGCTATGCACAATAAAATGGAGAAGAATGTTCAAAATACTGTATTAAAACTAGGAAATGGCATACTAATGAGGATAAGAGTATGGAAACACAGATATTTAGAAAATATGGAAGCAATGGAAAGAGTAGAAAGTCAGGAGCAGGAAAGAAAATCTCCCTTACTGGAGTGTACAATTGTAGACATTTTATATCAAAGGCCTTAAAAGTTAGTGTACATCATTTGGGCTCTTGTTAAAAATGCAGGTTCTTAGTGCTTGCCTTCCCTGATTCTGATTTTGTAGGTCCTGGAAATGTGCATTTTGATATTGATGTGCTTTGTGAGATATGCTTTGGAAAAAACTGCCTGATATGATCTAGTATATTTCTAAAATATATATTTCACTTCAAGAAGAAATTTACTTTAGTATATTTGAGTAGTTAGTTGGTTGCTGACCATTGTTAGCTATCTGTTATGTGCTTATGTTATACATTACAGAATCTTTATATACAGTATTGTCTCCACCTAGGAGTTTATATGAGAGAACTGATCAGTATAGACCTCTCTAGATTGTTCATCTCATTATTATAAGAACATGTGGCAATTCTGAATATAGATTATTTTTCCCTTTTTGTTTTGTTACTCCTGAACCTTCCTTTTGGGCCCAGATACCTCATCTCATCTCACATGACTTTTCTCTTTCTCATATCCTATACTTTTGTCTAGGCTAATTGCTAGACATGATGTCACCCTATCTGCAGTTTCACTATGCAGGAAGCATTTTTCTTGCTGGTTTTGGTACTGTTCAGTACATAGTTATTGAGTGTATACTATTTGCCAGACCCTTTGTTAGATGTGAACTTGAAAAATCTCAAGTAAGATGTTTCATGTTTGCATTGTGAATTTCCTTCACATTTTTGATAATTTCTTAAAATTTGTTTTCTAAAGTATGAATCAAACTTAAGTACTTTCCCCAAGCTAGTCCCCTTGTATACATATTTGTGGGTGACTGATCAGGTAAACTTATTTAAGTGGTAAAAAGTATTATTAGATATTTGCTAATAAGGAAATTGTATGGAAGCATTGAATTTTGTGAAGCTAAGAGGTAAATTAAGCCATATATATGTATACACACACACACACACACACACACACACAAATAATGACCTATCAAATACAAAATTAATTCTTTAGGGAAAAATAAACCTATTTTTTTAATTACAAGATTTTATTATAAATTTCCCTGGGCAGGCTACTCATTTGTACCTGGTTGTTTCCAAATACTCATAGAATGTTGTTTTCTTGACTTTGTACTTAACATTCTACCTCTGGAGGCATAAAACTTTGGAAAAATTGTAAGTAGTACTTTATTAGGAAAAGCTTGGGTATCTCTATCAAATTTACTGCATACTGATCATTGTGATTAATTTTATCCCATTTCTTATTAGTCTCCATGTTGCAGAATTAATTGCACATATATAATAACCTATAAATATAAATGAACCAATGGTATTCCAAGTAAAAAAGCTCTGTGTTTTAGTTAGTCTAAATATTGTTAAGAAGTAACCCATATATCCTTGAGATTTTGCAAGAGCAAGATATTACAGGGACTACTATATAGTATAATATCAGTTAACCAGAACTTAATTGACTAAATCACTCAATTAAGAATTCTAAAATGTGTATGGAAAGAGGAAGAGGCAGTGCTAAACTCTTAAGATCTTGTAAATCACTGAATAATCTAGAGTCAGAATTTCAGTTACCAAAATAATCTGAAATAAGACTTATGTGGCATGTACTGTATCATCTATCCAGTCAATCACCCGCCCATCTGTCTGTCCATCCACTTTCCACCCATCCATTCACCTACTCATTTACCCATCTACTATCCATGTAGTCCAGGATGCTGTGCAGTGAAGATGCTTACCAATGTAGACCATTATGTTAAGACAATCTTAACACTTTGAGTTCTTCATTATGGAAGAATTTTTTATTTTCTTTTTTAACAAAGGTAATAGTACTAAATAAATTTCCAATTAACTTATGTAAGTTGGAAATTCAATTTACTAATTACCTACTGAATTTAGATTCTACCAAGAATATAATATGACATCCATCTCTAAGAAATTTATAAATTCAGTTGGGAAGACATGGGCTATCTGTCTGGTAAATTAAATGGTGACAGTTAATTTACAATAACAGGAAATATTTCAGTTGAAATTTTGATTCATAGTAATGCTGTTTATATATGTATGATTCAACATCCCACAAATATATGTAGATGTTTGATACACACACACACATACATACACACACAGATATATATGCATATCTATATATATGGGGGTGTTTAGATATCTACTTAAATATGTGGCTGTTTCAACTGAAGATCTCTCTAGTTCTCAGTCATTTAGAGTCTCTTGTTTGTGAATTTTAAGGCCTATCACTGTCAACGTTGCTATATATGGTAATATGTATGCATACTGTAATAGTGATAGTAAGATCACCATGTGGATCGTGCTTTAAATGGTGACTTCTTTGTGTAATAGGGATTGAAGAATGGAGATAAAAATCCTTTATTCACTGAATATAAATTAAATTTACTCTTGATTATTTTTATATACCAAGTCTTATAAACTTTAAGTCTACCTCTTAAATTGAAGCTTGACTTGAAGCATTTACAGAACAATTTTAAAAACCTAACTAATGCTAGCAAGAGAAATCAAGGCTGTCTGTTGTTTGGAGTTTTCCATTGATTGATTGCCTGTGAAACAGGTGACTAAACAACAGTGAACACTATAAAATTTTATATGTATGTCCATTAATTTTAAGATGTGACATTATTACATGGTTGGTTAGTTGTAAAAGAAAGATCATTTACTTGAATTTTGAGATTTATTATTTCACCACTTATACATTAATGATGTATTAAGAATGGACTTATTCTCTTTCATCTCTCCAGCCAACATCACATTTTTCCCCCTTATCACCGTCCATTATACTCCTCTGATTCTTTCTCCCTCTGCCCTTCTTCGTAATCTCGGAAACCTCAGTTTGGTTATCAGTTATCAGTGTCTGTCAGTTTAGAATTATTTTTTTCTGTCAATTTATTTTCTTTGTTTCCTTTTGTTACTGACATATATAAAATAGACCAATATCTGTCTCAGTTACTTTGCTTCACGTAATTCCCTTGAATTTCTTCCATTTTGCTATAAATGGTGACATTTCATCTTTCTACTGTAGTGGAAACTAGTTTTCCACTGTGTGCATATACCACATCTTCATCTAATTCTCTGTCAGTGAGTACTTGGATTGATTCCAAATCCTAGCTATTGTAAATAATGCTGCAGTAAACATTTTGGAACATGTATTTTTTTCAAGTTGATGATTTCATGTTCTTTGGATAGATATCCAATTGTGTGATGGTTGGAGCATAAGATAAGTCCAGATAGTTTTCCAAAATGGCTGTGCCAATTTTACATCCTACCAATAATGTATTAGGGTTCCTCTCTTTCCACATGCTCTCCAGTGCTTATTGTTGGAGGTCTTTTTGATGGATGCCATTCTCACAGATATGAGCTCATATCTCATTATGTCTTGACTTGCATCTCTTTTATTAAAAGTGACTATGAACATTTTTTAATGTATCTGTTGACCTTCAGAATATCCTCTTTGGAAAATTGTTTTCTCAGATCTGCCATTTTTTAATTGGGCTGGGTTTCTTTTCTTTGTTGTTGTTAAGTTACCCAAGTACTTTGTATACCTTGGCTATTAAACATTTGTCTGTTGTATAACATGTGACTATCTTCTTCCATTCAGTAGAGAATGTCTTTTTAATCTACTAATATTTTCTTTTGCTGTATAAAAGCATTTTCATTTGATCTAGTCCCACCCAATTGTTTATTTTTGCTTTTATTTCCCTTGGTGTAGAGGTAGAATCGCCAAAGATATTTTTATCATTGATGTCGTGTCAGGTACACCAGTGATTTCTTCTATGTATTTTATGTTGCAGGCCTTATATCTAAATCATCCCTTTTGAATTTATTTTTGTGTATAGAGTTATTAGAGAGTGATCTACCTTCATTCTTTCAACTGTGTTTGTCCAGTTTTCCTAGCCTCTTTTGTTAAAGAGACTCTCCTTTCTTGTTTTTCTCAGAATTGTTAGGGCTATTCAGGGTCTTTTAAGGTTCCATATATTTTAGTAATTTTTGTGCTACTTCTTTCAAGAATATCATTGGAATTTTAATAGCAATTGCATTAAATTTAAATATTGCTTTTGGTAAGATAGTCATTTTGACTATTGTCTCCTATTGATCGACATGGAGTTTATTTCTATCTCTATGCCTTGTTCTTTATCTTTTAATAGTGTTGTATCTTTTAATAGTGTTGTATAAATTTGTTGTATAAATCTGTCATGTCCCACCTTTAGATTTTTAACTAGCCAGTTAATCCTTAGACTAGTTTTTGTTTTTATTTTTTAACTACCTGATTTTTGATTTCCAAATCAGTTTACAAAATCGTGGTCCTTGGGTGTCCTGCTAGCAGCTGGTCATGTCACAGGACCGGTTCACTAGTAATCGTAATATCAGTTCTGAAGGCTGGTACTCCAGAATAGCATTATTAGTTATCTTGATATTTCAAACTCTTCAGAATAGTAGGGTGTGAGCGCTGATTATTTTGTTGAGGAAGCTAGGTGTTTGATACTTTGGTTTATGCCTTGCAGCCAGCAGATACCATTGCTTTACTGCTCTTTGTACTAGCTATAAGGAACTTGATTTTAAGTTATTATGATATTGTCTCATGGCTTACCAAAGAGTATGTTAGCTTCTTAGATTTGTTTTTCATCTTTTCACCTTATTTGTCAGTTTAAGCAACAGAATTCAATGGTAACCTCAGGTTCCATTTTAGTGCTTATAGCTCCCTTAAAGCACTTCAACGTCAATTGTAGCTTTTAAAAGATTTTCTATTTATAGAGGAAAACACAGTAGATTTCCTCCTGTGTCCAAACTGTCACTTTTGATGCATCACTCTAATATTATCTTGTTTTTAGAAACTTCACAGCATCTCTTTGTGACTGTTCTACATTCTTCGAGGTTTTTAGAATATATCTTAATATTCACCTGCCCTCAAACCCATCTGTAACCTTCTTCATTAAGTGAAAAATAATCAAATGCACATAAGTGTGAATATTTAAATAGGTATTGTTTTTACTTTGCATTTTGTGCATGTTATTCTATATAGTTTATTAATTTAGCACATTTGCCTTCTAGATTGAAAGTTACTTAATGGCAGAAGCAGCAGCTAATGGCAGAAGCAGTCTGTAAATCTCATAGGGTTGTTTATGCCCTGTGGACCCTAAACTACAAGTGTACAAGATTTGTTGGCATCCACTTTGATTTCTTCACTATTCTCTAATAGTAGCTGAACATACAAAAAAAAAAAGTGATGTTGCAATTTGCTATCCAAAACTACTCTAGTCTCTCTGTATTTCCTATAACAAAATCATGTATTGTGTAGCTTTGTGATAAACTTTTTGATATTTTGAAGGAGATGGAAGAGTAATAAGCCCTTCGCCTCGTAATAAATCATCATGCATCTCATCCACAACAAACGTGACAGAACTATATGGGCTGGAAATGAAAACTGCCACAAGCTCCTTATCAGCATTTGGAGATTCTACCATTCAGACACCTTCCAAGTCCAGAATCCGGCAGGGCTGTCATAGTGCTGGCCCAAGTGTATCTGGTAATAAGGGACTATCATCTCAGTTATGAGAATTAAAGTTTAGTGTTAGGAATCAGGATTATGAAGGGATAAAGATAGCACTAGGGAAGTTCTGTACTTTCAACCAATCTGTAAGGCAAGGGAAAAATTATTTGGCACACACAGAACACATAGTTTAGGTTTGATGAGGAAAGAAGCAACTCAGATTTAGTAATTTCAAAAATGAAGAGCTTTTGAAACTATACTTTCTAAAACAGATGTTTGTCGGTGCCAAAGTTCTCCAAATATAAGATTACTTTAGTTTCAAGTTTTTCAAGTTTTTCTTAATCAAGTAATTTGTATATCATTTTCAATAGGTGATCATATTAATTTGGTGAGTTCATCAGTGTCATCATTTCCCATTCTCCAACGTTCTTCTGAAGAGAAAATTCTTTACTCAGACAGGTTGACCCTAGAAAGGTGAGGACAATTTATTTTATTCAATTTTATTTTTTGATTAGATAATACATAGATTATCATGGTATAAGATTTGAAAGGTACAAAAGTCTTCCTCCCCCTTCTTGTTCACCACCTATCTAATTCTCCTACCTAGATATGATCAGTTACTAATTTTTTTATTTGTCCTTCCTGAGGCATGGGGTTTATATCTATATAATGTAAAAGATCTTGAGTATCCTCTAGCAGAATACTATAGCAATTCCAAAATATGATTTTGATGGAAATGGATCAGGATTGGAAAATTTTATAATGCAGTCCTTGCATGCTTCTGGGCCCTATCCAGTTAAGTTCCCTGTTCCCTCAGCTCCTCATCTTCTTTTAATCATTTCTTCACTCATTCTGCCCCAGTCACACTATCCCCTTGCTACTCCTGAATACACCAAACATGCTGACACTTCAGTACTTTTATCACTGTTGTTCCTCTGTTGGGAATTCTGTTCCTCTCCATATTCATAGGTGTACTCCCTTGCCTTCGGTCTTTATTCATCTGTTATCATCTCAAGGATGACCTTCCTTAGCCATCCTTTACAAAACTGCAAGTCCCTCTACCCCGAGAGTCTCCACCTCCCTTCTCCTCTTTATATTTTTTTTAGCACTTGTCAATCTCTAACATGCTAAATATTTTACTAACCATGTTTATTGTCTGTCTCCTAATAGACTATAAGCTCCAAAAGCACTGGGAGTTATGCTCAGTTCTTATCCCCAGCTCCAAGAACAGAGCCCTATACAAAAATAGACTCTTATGAAAGATTTTGAATCCATGAATATATTTAGACTTGATCCGCATCCTTAAATCTGAGCAGGTATCTGCAGGAATGGTGGATGAAGGGTTCTCCCTCTACCTTAGTGCTTCTGCTTAGCTTAGCAGTGCTATAGTGCTTTAGCTTAGCAGTGTATATCTGACTGTAAATTATTGTGTACATTTGTTTTTGTCGTTGTGGAAAAGCTCTTTGGAGTGTTTTATGTTTTTTGTAGACAAAGTAACACTTGAGGACAGTAACTCTCATGACATCTTTATAATAGTGTTAGTTTTGGGGATTCTAATGCTGTCTAGTATTTATAACTTTCATGATGTTATTGTAAAGTTTTGAGGATTTTGTGGTGATTTATATGTCAGTCTTTAAAAGTCTAGCCAAGAATAGGTACTTCAGCTCTTCAATTAAGTGTTAGTTGATACTAACAGGAGCCAGTATTTGTAAGACTGTGACATAACAAGTTAGACACTTGTGCTATTGCTGGGGGTGACTCAGGCAATTGTGAAGATGATATTTGGCAGTATGAGCCTCTTTGGGGGGAAGCAGATTGGTCAGGTGGAAAGTCAGGACCAAAGGAATTGACTCAGCTTCAAAAACTGCTTGTAACATGGTAGGATGACAAAGTGTAGGCATAATTTAGTCAGTACCAAGGTAAATTGCAGTCAAGAAAGTTTGAGTAGCAGCAAGATAGTCAGGGGTCATTAAGAGCTACTGGCTAACGGCATTGAGTTTGAAAGGCAGATCTGCCATACTTTGTTATTTCTTAACCAAGAGACTAAGGGGTTATTAAGAGTAGCATCCAGTCCTCAAAAGAAATGCTTGGAAGAGCTAGTTTTTGGCTCTTCTGGGAGTTAGGGTAGGTCTTGAGTACCATAAAGACAGCTTGCCAGCCTCAAGTAGGAACTTGAAAGGCAAAAGCGTAATTGAATAGACATATCAGAAAGGGGATAGGAGGTAACAACTCACAGATTTCATAGGCATAACAAACTCCCCTGGAAAGAACTGAGTTTTGTATGTTTGTTTGCTTTTTTGATAAATGACAGGTGCTCATGGGGTTCAGGGGTAAGCATTAGCATCTGGGATCTTGAGAAAGTGACTTTATTTCCAATTACAACGGTTTATATAAGTGGACTTTTGGAGGTTTTTATCATACCTTCCGTGATAACTGACTCAATTATTGGATAAACTATGAGTTGGAGATATTAATATGTTTGACTATGGGAAAAAGAGGGAAACAAGCAGGAACAATGAGACTGTTTAAGTTATTTGCTAAGCTGACACGTATAGATAAACATTTTAAAATAGAACACTTAAAATTTATGAAATAGAAGTACCAAGTTTGGTAGTATAATTGAATACATCCTAAATATTAAAGCACACATTAAAAAAATAAACTTGTCGTAATTTTTTTACATTTCCTAAATTTTTTTTAGGATTTATTTTTATTTATGCATACAAGAACTGGGGTGTAGGCCAGAGATATGGGGAGGGGTGAGAGGATTCCAGAGACAGAGTGGGGAGCAGAAGAGGCAGATCTACTGAAATACACTGCTGAGGGGAGCAGCAGCAGAAGTCTGCTGTGCCATGTGGGTCAGTTCCCTGGCTAGGGATCAAACTTGTGCTGCAGTGGCTGGTGATTGCTTGATAGTGCTGAGACTGAACCCCTTGTGTCACCAGAGAGGCCCCTTTTCCTCAATTTTAAGCCAATTTCTTTAGGGTCTACATTTTTAAACATTATACCTTTGTTAGCCATTAATATTTATCAGTTATTACCCTGGGGTAATCTTTCTGTTTTTATGAGGAGGATTCTGATCACTTCCATAGTTTCACTTATGCTTGTAGCCCTCTAATTTGTTTTCTTTTAAGGTTACAGTAGTTTGATTTTTACTGAAAGGAAGTATTTCTTTTTTTTTTCCTTCAAGTTTGAGGGTTTTTAATTTTTATTTTTTAATTGAAATATAACATTGCATTACAACATGATATGTTTCAGATTCTTATCATTAAAAATCAGCATCTGTATTTACTACATTAAGTTCAGCACTAAAAGTCTACTTCTATCCTTCATCATAAAATTTATTCCTTTACCCTACTTACCCATCTTCTTTTTCCCAGAAGGAAATTTTGGTAATCGCTAATTGATATTATGATTTCATTTTATTTATTTCATCAATTGTTTGTTTTCAGTCTATATCACATGTAAGTCAAATCGTAAGGTGTTTATATTTTTTGAAAGGAAGTATTTCTAATAAATATTCTTATTAGGGTTGTTCATTCTCTTATTGATAGAATTACATTTTCCTTGAAGACTGTTTAAAAATCCCAGAATAGACGCACTCCTAACTGGCTGTTTTATTTTACAAGTGGAATTCATAAAGGAACCCTGCACATGTCTATTGATACTTCACATGTAATCTTTTAAAACTGTTTGCATATTAGAGGCTTATTGTTTGAAATATAGTTAACAGTATTCATTATTAAGATTCATCCTACCCTCCATCATTCTAAATGCTCTGCAAACTTACTGTTAGTGTTAAATCTATAGACACAAACTGGTCTTTTGAAGAAGTGATCCATAAGGTTCAGTAGCGATTATCTTATCATTAGTGGATTTCAGTATGAAATTGTTTTCATCAGTGTGACTAGTAGATGACTGAGTTTCTTGTTCTTCCCATAATATCATCCAACCCAAGAGTCTGATTCTGTGAGCGACATTTTAATATGGTTTTGCTCTGATGACTTAGTTTTCTGGCAGTCTTAAAATCATTAGATTATGGCAAGGATTCTTTCTCCAGTTATGTGACATGTTTCTTTCAATTATCTCATATTCTACTGAGGAAGGCAATTACTTTGAATGCTTTCTGATAAGTCAGTTGTGAAATATTTAATATTGGAGATTTTTAAAAACACACTGAGCGCTTAGACTTAATTTTAATAATTACCCTGTTAAAGTATATTGACTTTTAGATGGATATTTACAGTTAGATGTAGGACGCTTAGTTCAAGGAGGCAGGAAGTGATTTGGTTTATCTTTTTCTCCTCATAGGACAAATATACTAATAACAATAATTGTGAGTAAGGAGGCAGGCTACCAAATCAGAACCTCATTAACTTTTTAAAATGTTTTCTAGGCAAAAGCTTACTGTATGTCCTATCATCGACGGGGAAGAACACCTTCGTTTGTTGAACTTTCAACATAATTTTATAACTCGGATCCAAAATATTTCTAATCTACAGAGACTAATATTCTTGGATTTATATGATAACCAAATTGAAGAAATTAGTGGGCTTTCTACTCTGAGATCTCTCCGTGTCCTTCTGTTGGGGAAAAACAGGTAATTTGTAGAACAATTTTTGTTCTTTATACTTGGGACTAATGTTGAATGCTATGGTGTTTACAAGCAGCTCAGAATTATATAATACTTAAGAAATTAGTGGTCTAAATTTTTTGAAAGATTATTTGAATGCATTAAAATTCAGTCATAATTTGTTTCATGAGATTCAGTTTGACAGTCAAACCAAATATTTATTTATTTATTTTATAAAAAGATTTATTTATTTATACAAGAACCCAGGTAAAGGCTAGATGCACGGGAGGGTGAGAGGGTTCACCAGAGACAGAGTGGGGAACAGAACAGGCAGACTGATGAAATACACTGCTGAGGGGAGCAGCGGGCGAGACAGGAGAGGTCTGCCACGCCATGTGGGACCCTCACTGGCCAGTCGGGATCGAACCGGCACTGCAGAGGCTACGGACAGCTTCACAGCGCTGCGCTCAAATGCCTGCGCCACCAGGGGAGGCCCCAAACCAAATATTTATTGAGTGTGTATTCTATTATTTCCTTTGCTTTCCAGTGCCATATCATAAAGTAACCAATATTGACCTAAACTTTATGTTTAAGCTTCATTTTAAACATGTGTATTTACTTTAGGTTTATATGTTCACTTATCACTTCCCAGTGCTTGACTAAGGGTAGATGCTTGTTTGATATTTTGTGATTGTCGAGTTACTGATTCTTATTCAGATGGTATTTTCAGTATTAATTTAATATTACTTCCTATATGCACTTCCCCAGTTCCTTTTATAAATCTTTTATGTAATATTGCCTCACAATTCTTGACTCATTTCCTTGAAATTTGTGCATGACGTTTCTCTATTCTGTTTTATTGGATAGCATTTGTGGTGCCTGCAAAGGAGGGATGTTTAGAAAATTCAAAAAAAGGCTTTCATATTATCAAATGAGGAAGTTTAGTGTGGTACAGTATCCGTTCATTTCTCTTCTCCCTCTTTTTTCCCCTATGTCACGCATCTTGTATTCTTTTTTCTCACTAGTCAATCATGATGTTGATACAATTTTTAAAGTCACATCCTAGAGTTCTAGGTTCTTGTCTATTCTCTGTGGTTTTTCTGAAAGTTACCATCTTTGCAGTTTGTCACCTATCATTGGTTTACACGTTAAGCTAAACATTAAAGTAGCTTGAGGAAATTTAAGGAGATTATAGGATCATAGAGTATTAGAGCTTGAAGTGACCTCAGAGAGCAACTCTCATTTTACAGGTGTAGAAATGGAAACACAAAGTGATTTTTGCAAGGCTGAATTTGTGCAAACTATATGCAATAGGAGTATGCCGTCAGAGCAATTCACTGGATAAAGTGAGGAGTAAAGTTAACTTTCCTTAGATTTAAGGCATCATCTGCTAGGTACTCCCTATTATCTCTCTCAGAGATTTTTTTATTTCTGATCCTTGGAGTTATTGGTCTGATTGTCTAACTCCCATATATTATTTCCTACCATTGTCTTTATGTTCTCCTTTTTGTTCATCAAGATTATTTTCCAGTGATATTTTAAATCTCCTTTTCCAGTTTTAAACATTGCATCTATAAGCTGCTCCCGGTTCCTAACATTTTAAATCATCTTTCAGTGTAACTTTTCTTGCTTCAAGTTTTCAGCTTCCCTAACTTCTCAGAAATAATCTCTAAATTCTTATTGGTTTAATTATTTATGCTTCAAAGACACCAGTCTATCTAACCTTCTAACCTTTCTGAAGGTTTCTTTGCTCCGCTAATGCTAAGGCACCTAATGCCCTTGCTGTATCTTTATTTTGGTCAAGTAAAAGCAATATAACACATTCTCTGCTTTCTCCTCCTACAGTCTCCTCTTCATCCTTTGTCTTTTACTACTCTGTCTTTTTGTTTCTTTGCTTTGGCCATATGCTACTTATTTTTTTCTTCATAAAATAACTGTTAAACTGGTCTATAATTATTGGTGTTCTTGAATCGAAAAAGAAAATGAGTCAGAGGACAGTTTTCCACATTCTTCCAAATTGCATATTTCTGAAATACCAGAACAATGCAAATCTGATACCTAATACATATGCCTATTGATCTCCAGCAAGCTGACTTTGTCACAGCAGGGGGTCAGAGAGCCTTGAAGTTACAAATCTGCCCTGAGGCAGTACATGAGGCAAACCTGGTGGAAGGGACAGGGGAAGAGCGAAGCTCATTTGCCATCCTGTCTCTTCCTATTTGTCTTGGATGATTTATTCTCCTCATATGGTTCATGTGCAGGAAGTTTTCTTCCTCCCACTTTGCAAAGCACTGCACTATCTTTCAGTCCAAAGCAGTGAAAATACAGGGCAACTGTCAGCTCCAATAAAAATTTTTGCTCAGAAGCTAGAAAGACCCTGCTTGGATTCTGTATGTGAAGTTTGCATTTCTACCAAAACACTGCCACCCACTCTGTACCATTTCGCTACTGAAATTCTTGCCACCCAACTTTTCCGCCTTTTATATCTCCTGCTTATCCTTGTGAGACTTTTGGTGCCCTCATGGTCACAGACTAATGAATAGAACTTTTATGCATTTTCTTCTGATCACCCTACACTGTAGATAAAAAATTCTTCAGACTCCAGTATTCCATATTTCTTTCCCTTTTGGGTCCTTAAAGTTTTGTATTTGTGGATTTGTCTCTGACACCTGAAAAGCTTAGCTTTCATATACATTTGATAGAGGGATTTTTTTTTTTAATATTCAAAAGGGCAGGTTTATTATAAAAAGGAAAGGGAGGTGAGGATATTTATATAGACATAAGTGGGCAGAAAGAGCTGCCCTGAAAGGGAGAGCTTTGTTAATGAGAGGCCTCTATAATCACAGGCGGGCAGTCTTGAGAGTAGAGCTGTTTTGCAAAGGAAAAAGGTTGGTGAAGAGTCACACCTGCAAAGTCACAGGCAGGCAGGAGAGCTGCTACAGATAGAGGGATCCTTATCCTAGCATGAGTAACAGTGTAATCTGCAGAAACAGATTGTCATATATATATATATATATATATATATATATATATATATATAGCTGCTGAGGTGATGGGTCAGCCTTGTATTTTTGTAGTTTCAGTTCTATTTAATGGTAGAAGTTCTTTTTTAAAAAATTCTTGTCATGTTGTTATTAATGTAAACATCTTCAACTATTGGGAAACTGACTAGTATTCTGCAAATTCCTCACATGAGACCTAATCTGTCCAGTGGTCTTTTAGATTAACTAATGCCTTTATCTTCCTCTGAATGCTTTAGAATTCTATCTGTTTTTATGTCATTTCAGGTGCTAGGGAAGGTGAGGGAGTCTGGGACAAAAGCAGTTAATGACAAGACAGCAAGGTGTTTAGTTGGTCTTGAGTTTAACTAAGCAACTTCTGGGTTGTTTTTTTTTTTTTTTTCCTTTTCATATGGGCAATCAGAATCTGAATTAAGAGTCATAAAACCAAAACTAAGAAAACGCTTGAAGTCACAAAAGTTAAGGAATTTGTATATGATGCCCAGTGGAACTCTCTGGGAAGACATATTGTAACTGAAGTTTTCTATAACTCAAGTGCTTTAAAGGTGCCCAGAATTCTGATTAATACAGAAACAGATTTATTGATTTCTAAGTCAGAGAATGTTGGGCTAAGACAATCTCTATTCTTTGTGTATAATTTTCAATATGTTAAAAATACAATTCTGAAACATATAGATAATAATTAAAGGCCGGCATTTTAATTAACTTAGTAATGAAGAAACCAGCAGAATGACAAAGCTTGTTAAAAGTAGGGTAAGAGAAACTGATATATAGTCATCAATAAGAATGCTGGAATAAGATTCTAAAATTAGAGTTTGGCAAGATGATGGCAAAGTCAAGACATTGGGCTAGCCTCCAAATATTTACAACCAAAATATACCTAAAACAAAGACAGTAGTCCCGATGATGAATGGATGACGATTATATATTTTCAGAACAATGGCATGTGGATTTGGGTCAGGTAAAACTAAACCATGTTTGGAACCATACCAGGGTAGTAGAGTACAGCTCATGAGAAAGAGTCATGGCTGCCATATGAAGCCTCTCTGCTGTTGTTAACACAAAGGCGCATGCCCACATCAGGGACTTTAAAATCAGGAAACTATACTGGAGAAAGGGGGGTGAATGCAGGAGAAGAGTGTACCAGTATAGATCTATAGGATTAGGAATGTTGAATGCTAATTGTTGACTTGAGTCTGTGGCTCCCAAAAGAGAATAGTTGGAGCAAAACTGTCAGCAAGGGCCAGATTGGATCACCTGTGTCTACTTACAAGAAAGCATTATTTTCAGCCTGTGGCTGTGATACATGAACTACCTGACTCAGTCACACCCAGGGCCAAATCCAAGATAACCAAAAAAATACTGTTATTAACCAGAGTTTGAACCACCTGAATTTTAACAATAGAGTAAGCACCCTAAACAAATAGAGTAAGCACCCTAAACACTCCCTAAACAAAAAGGCAAAGAGAATAATTCCTAATTGTTCTCAATAATACCCATCTGGTGCTACACTTACTGCTCATGCATATCATAGAGATTGAAACTGACAAGAGATTGAGATTTTTGGCTGGGGATTTGACCTAGGGGAGAGAGTTACTGTGGATCTCTACTATACAATTTGTTTAACCACAGTGCTATAGGACATTTGAAGCCTTGTTACTTATTGGAAGCATCCATTTAGTGTCCCAATGCTCTGGTTCTACTACCTCTTACTGGCACCAGTGCCCTGGTAATCTGAACAGATGCAGGGTCATCAATGAATGAAAAATAGACACCTACGCTTCTGGGTTAAATACCCAGGACTACTCAGTTGCTTGTAGGCAGGGTATAAAGCAAATTAATCAAGAGAAGAAATGAAAGAACCTTATTACAACAAAAAATGAAGAGACAGAAGAACGTACCACAAATTCAGGAGCCAAAAAAAGCCCAAGAGAAGTGTAAATCCAGAAGAACTGCAGAATATGCCTGAGGAGGAGTTTATGGTAATAGTTGTAACCATGCTTATTGAATTACAAAAAAGCAATAATGTATGATCAGATAAAACACATTTATAATTTTAAATGTAGTAAGAGATAGAGATGGGCTTTACGTTATGACCAAGGGCCTTTACACACCAAAAGATGGAGCACCAAGCTACATAAGGCAATTATTAATAATAACAACACAATAATATTAGAGGATTTTAATACTCCATGTACAACTGTGGACAGATAAACAACATAAGTTAAAAATTATTAAATTATAAAACAGGCTAGTTATCTTTCTATGAGACAAACCATTTCAACTTACCAATTTTTTACAAGTTAGTATATTTTGTACAAAATTTGGACCCTAATTAGTAGTGGTAAGTTAGATGACCCTTAGGTAGGCTTATTGACAGTGCTCTGATATGACATTGAAAGGACATGCAGCCATCCCTTTGCCTTACTGCCAAAATTTGGTTATCAACACCGATTACTATCTTTGCTTCTCTACTCTCATATCAGTTTCACAAAATTTGCTTTTAATACTATGTATTTATTTATATTTTATTATTTATATTTCCCATTTTATTAAATGTTCTTCAAAAGTGCAATTTTTTAAAGATCTATGTAATATATAATATATATTTCTTTTTTGTCAGACATTTACATTGTATCCTTTTTTCTTTTTTTGCTAAATAGGTGAGTTCACCCTCATAAAACTCATATGAGGGGGAATCAAAATTTGATGAGGAAGGGCCTCCCCGGTGGCGCAGTGGTTGAGCGCTGGGTTGCGAAGCTGCCGGCAGCCTCTGTAGCACTGGTTCGATCCCTGGCCGCTGGGCGAGGGTCCCACATGGCGCGCAGACCTCTCCTGCCGCCCGCTGCTCCCCTCAGCAGTGTATTCCGTCTGTCTGCCTGTTCTGTTCCCCGCTCTGGCTCTGGTGAATTCTCTCACCCTCCCACGCTTCTGACTGTACCCAGTGCTTGTATAAATAAATAAATAAAATAAAAAAAAAATTTGATGAGGAAGAAGGTGTTTATTTTAGGGCAGTGTTTTTCAGCATGTGATCCGTGGGGCAGCAATATCAGCATCACCCAAGAACTTATTAGAAAGGCATAGTTTTGGACCTTATCCCAGAAACTCTGGAGATTGTACTAAAAAATCTATAGTTTAGCAAGTCCTCCAGATGATTGCGATGAACACAGAAATTTGAGAATTGCTAGTTAAGAGAATGTGAGCATGGGAGTATAAAAGAATTAAAGTCTCTAATAGTTGTGAGGTCAGATTGCTGTTAGAAAGCATCTCTGTGTACTGTCTTAGAGTATGATATTTTTCTGCAACTCTTCTGGGTGTTTCAGCAGCAAAGCATACAGAGGGATGGTTTTGTAAATTTTACCTTTTTACTCATCTGGTTTGGCTGCTGCTGTTGTTATTATTGCTGGTTACTATTAGAGAGATTTATGTGTTATACAGTCTAGTACTAAACATTTGACTCTGGGCGAAGGTTAATGAAGGATTCCAGTGAGTGCAGAAGGATGTTTATTGTTTAGATGAAGTGACTAAAGGGTCTTCAGGAGGTGAAGTACTTTCTAGTATTCTGCCAGTGTGATGGTATGAGAGAGGAGACTGATGATAAGGTTGTGGTTGTAAGGGAGGGGACTTGGGGGTGTGTGTGTATGTCATAAAGGAGAGAGGAAAACTACAACTACATGGTGATAGTACAACGTGTGTATGATAAATATTTTTATAAATTAAATTGGATTGAATTGGTTGTGGTGTGATAGAATCCTGTAATGTGACTGAGGTTAAATACAGATAGGAATTCAGGAAATTTATTTTTGCCTATGTTTACCTGTAATTAGATAGATGAAGTTTCAAGGACAATCCAGGTTTTGGACACATTTAGGAATGTGGAAATGGTTCTGTGAGGTGGTAAACAATTGCAACAGAAGCAGTGATAGGCAGTTGATGATAAAGATGGATTGCATAAACTTCATTTTTATCCTTTCTTTGTCATTGGGCCTTTTTCTTCACTGAATAGCGATAGTAAGGGGAAGTAGGATGTATAGAAGGAAGAACTATAAGAAAGGAAAGTGTTTTTGTTTTGTTTTTCTTGTTGTAGAGTCCCCTTGGAGGTAGTTGGACAGACAAATTAGCCAGAGGGGATAGGAATAGTAGACAGTGGGTATGCCATAGTCATTAGGACTAGAACATTTTAGAGACAAAATTTTATAGATCTGAACCATGTGAAGTTCTGGGAGAAGTATATTTATGGAATAGTAATAGCAGTAGCAAATACCCTAAGTCAGCAATGAACTGGTCAGGTTAGAGACAGCAAAAAACCCCTATATGCGGTACAGAATAAATGAGTCTGAGTCATGGTAGGAGATAAGGCTGGAGAAAGAATCAGTGGCTAGATGGTATGGGACTTTGAGGACTAGGGAATGAGTTTGCCTTGTATTCTAAGTGTGAAGGCAACTGCCTTGTTTAGGTGCCATCCTACAATTCTTAGGAAGAGAACTGCTTTTTTCTAAACATAAGACTTTTAAGCTGTCTTTTTGATAGTCTAACCAGTGGGACTACAAATTTAACAAAATTAAATCATTGGGAAACATATTTTTGTTTAATATGTTTCTATATAACCTATATATTTATATGGATATATATATAGTGATCTCTGTATCTACATAGATATTGTTAATAAATTAAAATGAGTTATTTCTTAGCATGTCTTGTTTACAGTAGATGTGATGTGAATACATCCCCAATTCTATTCATTCTGATTTTCAGAATCAAGACTATCTCAAATCTGGAGAATCTAAAAAGCTTGGATGTCTTGGACCTTCATGGAAATCAGGTATTGTAAAATCCTTTCATTTCATTGTTTTTTGAAAAAATATCCAGGAAATTTGGTATTATAAAAGTTTTAAGAATTATACTTGTGTTGAAATTTTTCCACAGTTATCTTGCTGATTCATTAAAATTCCTGAGCTATAAAGTTTATATGAGATTTTTTAATCCTTCAGTAGTCAGTAGTAAATCACAGATAAAATTTATCAAACGTTTGGAATCTTCCGGACAATTTTTGTTTTAAAAATGTGCGTTACTTAACTCAAACCCAAGAACTAGAATATACATACAAATGATCTTCTAATTAAGGAAAACCCCACATTTCACATTTATCATCCCTTTGTGGATTAATTTGGATTTATAACATGTGTGTGTCTAAATAATATGTTGTTGGGCCTCCCCTGGTGGCGCAGTGGTTGAGTGCTGGGCTGTGAAGCTGCCCGCAGCCTCTGCAGCACCGGTTCAATCCCTGGCCGCCGCCAAGGGTCCCACATGGTGCGCAGACCTCTCCTGCCGCATCTGCTGCTCCCCTCAGTCTGCCTGTTCTACTACCCACTCTGGCTCTAGTGAATTCTCTCACCCTCCTGAGCTTCTGACTGTACTCAGTGCTTGTACAAATAAATAAATAAATAAATAAATCTTTAAAAATAAATATGTTGTTTAGTAATATTGTCTTTTAATTAAAAAAAGATGTCATACTCACAAGGATGGTTCAACATCCGAAAATCAATCAACGTTATCCAACACATCAACAAAAAGAAATATAAAAACCATATGATAATGTCAATAGATGCTGAGAAAGCTTTCGACAAAGTGCAACACCCATTCATGATAAAAGCCCTTGAAATTCTTGGGATACAAGGAACATACCTCAACATCATAAAGGCCATATATGACAAGCCAACAGCCAGTATCATTCTCAATGGTGAAAAGCTGAAAGCATTTCCATTAAGATCTGGAACAAGACAAGGATGTCCACTCTCACCACTGCTTTTCAATATAATACTGGAAGTCCTAGCCAGAGCAATAAGACAAGAGAAAGACATACAAGGAATCCAAATAGGAAAAGAAGAAGTCAAACTATCACTATTTGCAGATGATATGATAATATACATAGAGAACCCCAAAAAGTCCACAGAAAAACTAATTCAACTCATCAATCAGTTTAGTAAAGTGGCAGGATACAAAATCAACACGCAAAAGTCAGTAGCCTTCCTATATACAAGCAATAAATCTGAAGAAGAAGAAATCAAAAAACCAAACCAAACAAAACAAAAATCAAATACTTGGGAATAAATCTAACAAAAGAGGTAAAGGACTTATGCAAAGAAAACTATAAAACACTGTTAAAAGAAATAGAAGAAGACACAAAGAAATGGAAAGACATCCCCTGCTCATGGATTGGAAGAATAAGCATTATTAAAATGACCATCCTACCAAAAGCAATATACATATTCAATGCTATTCCAATAAAAATTTCAATGTCATTCTTCAAAGAAAAGAACAATTATTGATGAAATTCATATGGAATCACCAAAAACCCCGAATAGCCAAAGCTCTCCTGAAAAAAAAAGGGAATGGAGGCATCACACTGCCAGACTTCAAACTATACTACAAAGCCATAATCATCAAAACTGCATGGTATTGGAACAAGAACAGACATACAGACCAATGGAATCAAATAGAAAATCCAGAAATAAACCCACAGGTTTATGGTTAACTAATCTTTGACAAAGGAGCAAAGACTATGCATTGGAGCAAAGAAAGTTTGTTCAATAAATGGTGCTGGGAAAACTGGGTCGCTACATGCAAAAGCATGAAGCTTGACCACTACCTCACACCATACACAAAAATCAACTCAAAATGGATTAAAGAACTAGACATAAGACCTGAAACCATAAAATGCATAGAAGGAAATACAGGCAAAACACTACGTGATATGCACATCAGACATCTTTACAGACACATCACCCAAAACAGTGATAGTGAAAGCAAAGATAAACAGCTGGGACTACATCAAATTAAAGAGCTTCTGCACAGCAAAAGAGACAATAACAAAAACAAAGAGAAACCCCACCAACTGGGAGAACATTTTTGCACACAACACTAATGATAAAGGATTGATCACAAAAATCTGCAAAGAGCTGATGAGACTCAACAACAACAAAGAAAATAATCCTGTCAAAAAATGGGCAGAAGAGCTAAAAAGAAACTTCTCTGAAGAGGAAATGCAAATGGCCAACAGGCATATGAAAAAATGTTCAACATCACTTGTAATCAGGGAAATGCAAATCAAAACTACCATGAGATACCATCTTACACCAGTGAGAATGGCACATATTAAAAAAACTAGCAACAACAAATGTTGGCGAGGATGTGGAGAAAAAGGAACTCTCCTGCACTGTTGGTGGGAGTGCAAACTGGTCCAACCACTATGGAGAGCTGTGTGGAGATTTCTGGACCTACTAAACATAGAGCTTCCATATGATCCAGCAATTCCACTCCTAGGTATTTATCCAAAGGACACAGAAACATCAATTCCAAAGAGCACCTGCACCCCTATGTTTATAGCAGCACTGTTTACAACAGCTAAGCTTTGGAAACAACCCAAATGCCCAAAAATAGATGACTGGATCAAGAAGATGTGGTACATATACACCATGGAATATTACTCAGCATTCAAAAAAGATAAACACATGCAATTTGCAGCAACATAGATGGTGCTGGAAGGGATCATGCTCAGCGAAATAAGCCAGAAAGGAAAAGAAAAATACCGATGGTCTCACTCATAGCAGGAATCTAGAAAACTTAAATAAGGGACCGGGAAAAGGAATAACTTTAAGAAAGTGAAAATCAAAATCAACAAAAAACTATGAACCAGAGACACTCTATGGGGGAGGGGGTGGGGAGGGGAGGGATTGGGGTCAAAATAAGGGGGTTGCATTTGTATGGGGAATATAAAAATAAAATTTATTTTAAAAATAAGAATTGATATTCAAAACAATTAAAAAAAAGATGTCATACTATATGTTTAATCTATTGTTGATTGTTTGGATAGAACATTATGTTACTGTTTTAAGTAAGTAGCTGCAGTATTTATTTTTACTGGTATATGTTCCAATGTGTGACTATATGAAAACTTTTTTCTCCAGTTTATTAGTGATAGATATTTGGGTTGTTTTCAATTAGGAATAATATTTCTAAGAATATTCTTGTACATGTTTCTTCCATATACCATCTTCACGCTAGGGTATAGCTCTAGGAGTGAAACTGATGGGTCACAGGTAACTTAAATATCTAGCTAAAATATAATGATAAGTTTCTTTCCAAAGTGGTTGTATGGGTTTATACTTATATCAAAAGTACACATCCTTTTCAACATTTAGAATTGTAGAAGTTATATTTTTTTCCAATTAAATTGTATAAAGTGGTGTCTCCGGATGGTTTTGATTTATATTTCCCTAATTATGAATTTGGGCTTCTTAGTCTGTTGTCAGTTTCTCTTCCTATATATCTGTCTGTGTTAATGTTTTAATTTCTAACTCTACTTTCTTAGAGTATCTTGGCTTTTTTTTTAACCCTTTGTCCTTCCATTTAAATTTTAGTCTTTGAAATGTATTTATTTATGAATAGCTATGTGAACTAAACACTAGTGTAGAAGGTAAAGCTTTTCCTGAGGTAGTAAGTGTACAATCTGGGATGATCCAGAATCAGCCTGTTGATGAGTAAGATCTAGCATTGTTGCTTGCACTAGGTCAGATGCGAACCACAGATGATCTCTCTGGGCTTTCTAGTGTCTATTAATCCCAATTGTTTTGGTGTAAAGCTAATTTCTTATGCATATAAACACTGAACTATAGCAGAGGAGGTGATGGTAACAACGATACCCATGAAGTGATGAAGAGAGCTCAATATGATTTCAAGCCTCACTACTGTAACAGAAAACAGCACAAAGGGATGAGTTTCTACATGAGTTTCTACAAGTAGGGGTCCTTATGGAAGACTTCAGAAACCTTTTAATGTAACACACTGAAGTAACAATGCTATGCCTGGAATTAACTTGGTGTCCTTCCTTTTCCTTGCCTTTGCTCTCAGAAGTTAAGTCTTGCTTGGTCAAAATATTGTGAGCTTATGCTTTGGGCTCAAAGTAAGTTTCTGTTTGACAGGCAGTATTTCTACTTCTTGTCACCTTCATGGGACTTGGCACAGTGATGGGCACTTCGAAATGGCCCAAATGATGGACTCATTGATTATGTGATCAAATTTACTTTAAATATTTATTATGGAAAAATCATAAAATATACTCCTTTAATTTTTGTAAGCTAAATGTCTTCATATTATCTGAGTAGGGGAAATTGGAAATTGATTTTTAAATGTCTTCATATAATCTTGTTGCTGTATCCAGTTTATTTTTATGGTTTTTATAGCATGCATATCTGAAATTTATGGCTGTTAACCATTACTTCATCAATTTTTAACAGATTACCAAAATAGAAAATGTCAATCATCTGTGTGATCTGAGAGTTTTGAATCTTGCCAGGAACCATTTAAGTCATGTTGATAACCTTAATGGACTGGATTCACTAACTGAACTTAACCTGAGACACAATCAAATTACTTTTGTGGTGAGTATTAAATGGAATTAAGATATATTTCTGGTCTTTATTTTAAATAAATAAAAAAAAAAATCATGGTATTTCTTGTTCCAAAAAAGAATCTAAGACAATTCAGTTTATTTTTTCTGAATTTAAATTGTGGATATAATTACTAAGCTTTGTAACATTTTGATTTTGGAATTTTTAACATGTTTTCCATTCTTTAAAAGATAAATATGAATTTAGAAACAAAGTGGAAGTGTATTCAATAAATGAATCATCTAGTATAAATGAATAATGAATCCTATTTTGTCATCGGTATAGAATTAATAAGAAAAAAGATTATTGGTGAGTACAAGTTGATGAATTGTTGTGCCAAGTGTGGAAATGCACAGAGAGGGGAGGTTAAGGGCTGTGAAGACATGCATAAGTCATATCCCTTGTACTTTTTAAAGGGGTAGCTTGGTAAGCATTGCATAAAGCATCAGAATTATGGCCTCAGCTTCATCTCTCATCTGCGTGACCTTGAGTAAAAACACTTTCAATCTCTAAGCCATAGTTTACGCTTCTCTAAAACGAGTGCATTAGATTAGATTATCTCTAGGGTTCTTTTTGACTTATTGAATCTGAAAAATCAAATAAAAAAGGGGGATAACTGGTATGCAGGCAGTAGGAAAAGTTATTGTGGAGGTAAAACTCAGAAAGATTAATCTGGAAATTTAAAGATAAACTTCCTTAGATTTATAGTTTTTGTCAGCAACTAAATATCACCTTGGTGCTCATGTATTTTGTACTTGTGCATATGTGAAGAATACTGGAAATATGGCTTTTGGCTTTATGATATGGTACAGATTAAAAGACATCTAATCATTTATAAAAACATTTATTCTTTTAACAGGTTTCCTTCGTTTACATGCCATAGCAAACTATATACTTCAGTTTCTCTCTGGATATTATTTAAGCACTTTTAAAGGCACACACTGAATCTTAACTCTTTTAAAACTTTGAGTTCATTATAAAGAATTAGGTATATTGTTTGTGGCACACATGAAAAAGTTGGCGGGCAGATGATGCTTTATCTCTAGTCTCTTTGTGCAGGTTTGTTTAATTTTGAAATTTTCCCAGAATATATGGGCCAAGTAATGCTCACGTCTTAGAAGACTGGAATAATTTCAGAACCTTTCCTAAGACATAGATTTATTCCAGAACTCTAAATTATGTCAGACTTTTCCCAGATTGGATTTGTCAAAGATTGTCCATATTTGTATGAGTTTATCTCTGGCCTTTCTGTTATATTCCATTGGTCTGAGTTTCTGTTTTTGTTCCAGTACCATACTGTTTTCATTACTGTTGCTATGTAGTATATAGCTTGAAGTCAGAAAGTGTGTTACCTTCATTTTTGTCCTTTTGTTTTCGGATTACTTTAGCTATTTCAGGCATTTTGTGGTTCCATATAAATTTTACAGTTGTTCAGTTTCCTTGAAAAATGCCATTGGGGCTTTGATATGTATTGGATTGAATCTGTAAATTACTGTGAGTAATATGGTACTTTTTATTGATGTTTATTCTTCCAGTCCAAGAACATAGACTATCTTTCCATTTCTTTTTGTCTTTATTTCCTTTACCAGACTCTTATAATTTTCAATATATTGGTCCTCATCTCTTTCATAAAGTTTACTCTCAGGTATTTCATTCTTTTTGGTATGACTGTAAATGGGATTGTTTTCCTTATTTCTGTTTCTTTTGATGCATTGTTTGCATATAGAAATACAGCTGATATCTTTTTTTTTTTAAAGATTTATTTATTTATTTATACAAGCACTGGGCACAGTCAGAAGCGTGGGAGGGTGAGAGAATTTACCAGAGCCAGAGTGGGGAGCAGAGCAGGCAGACTGACGAAGTACATTGCTGAGGGGAGCAGTGGGAGGCAGGAGAGGTCTGCGTGCCTTGTGGGATCCTTGCCTGGTGGCCAGGGAGGGGATTGAACTGGCGCTGCAGAGGATGTAGCAGCTTTGCAACCCAGCACTCAACCACTGCGCCACCGGGGAGGCCTGCAACTGATTTCTTATATTGATATTGTATCCTGCCATTTTATTTTATTCATTTATTATGTCTAGCAGTTTTTTTGAGTTCTTTATGTATATTGTCACACCATCTGTAAATAGTGAGTTTCACTTCCTTTCCAATTTTGATTTCTTTTATGTCTTTCTTGTCTAATTGCTTTAGCTAGGATTTCCAATACTATGTTTGATAATGGTGGTGACAGTGAACATCCTTGCCTTATTTCTGATATTAGTGGAAATGCTTTCAACTTTTCAGTGTGATGTTGAGTGTGATGTTGGCTTTGGGTTTGTCATATATGGCTTTTATAATGTTTAGATAAATTCCATTTGCATTTTATTAAGTGTCTTTATCATAAAGGTTTCTTGAATCTTGTCAAATGCTTTTTGGCATCTATTGAAATGATTGTGTGATTTTCATCTTCCATCTGGTGATCTAGTGAATTACATTGATTGTGTATATTGAACAGCCTTGCATCCCTGGGATGAAGCCTGCTTAATCATAATGAATAATTCTCTTAATATATTTGGTTTGCTAGGATTTTATTGAGGATTTTTTGGCATTTATGTTCATCATAGAATTTGGTCTAAAGTTTCATTATTTTTTTGGTACTGTCTTTGGCTTTGGGGTAATTTTTGCTTCAGAGAATATGTTGGGGAGATTTTCTTTGACTTTTTTGATGGGTTTGAGTAGAATATTAGGTCTTCTTGGAAGGTTTGGTAGAACTCACTAGAGAAGGTGTCTGGGCTTTTGTTCTTAGGGAGACTTTTTATTACTCTTTCAATTTTTGTGCTTGTGATTGGACTGTTTTAGCTGTCTGTTTCATCCTGATTCAATCTTGGAAGGTTGTATGGTTCTAAAAATTATTCATGTCTTGTAGGTTGTCCAGTTTGTTTACATAGAAATATTCATAGTAGGTTCTTATGTTCCTATATATTTCTGCAGCTTTTGTTGTAATTTTGTCGCTTTCAGCACTGATTATATTTATGTGGGTTTTCTCTCTCCTTTTTTTTTGTAACCCGAGCTAAGTGCTTGTCAATTTTGTTTATTTTTTCAAAGAACCAACTCTTGGTTTCACCTATCTTTGGGACTGGCTTTTCATTTTCTATTTCTTTAATTTCTACTCTAATTTTTATTATTTCTTTCCTTCTTCTCATTTTTGGATACATTCTTTTTTTTTTCCCCCTAGTACCTTTAGCTGCAGAGTTAGATTGTGCATTTGAGATTTTTCTTGGTTTTTGTTTGTTTTTAATGTGGACTTCCCATGTAGTGCTGCTTTTAGAACATCCCAAAGGGCCAGGTAACTTGTCTCTCCATGTTTGTTAGTCTCCACATACTTTTTAATTTCTTCATTGACCCAGGAGTTTCTCAGAAGCATTTTGTTTAGTCTCCACATATTCTGATTTATTCTGGGATTCTTTTTGTGGTTAATTTCTAGCTTTATACCATTGTGATCTGTGAAGATGATTGATATAATTTCTGTTTCCATATATTTTTTGAGATATCTTTTGTGTCCCAGTATATGATCTATTCTTGAGACTGTTCCTTTTGTATTTGAGAAGAAAGCATTTTCATTTCTTTTGCGATAGAAAGCTCTATAATGTCCATTAAATTCAGCTCACTCAACACTTCATTTAAGGCCTTTATTTCTTTGTCAATTTTCTCTCTGGATTATCTATCCCTCATGTTAGTGGTGTGTTGAAATCTCCAACAATAATTTTATTTTTTAAAAAAGATTTATTTGTACAAGAACCAGGGCATACAGGCTAGATGCATGGGAGGGTGAGAGGATTCCCCAGAGACAGAGCGGGAAACAGAATAGGCAGACTGACTGAAATACACTGCTGAGGGGAGCAGTGGGCAAGACAGGAGGGGTCTGCTGCGCCATGTGGGATTCTCGCCGGCTGGCTGGGATCGAACCTTCACTGCAGAGGCTGCAGACAGCTTCACAGTGCGGCGCTCAACCTCCTGTGCCACCAGGGAGGCCCAATAATTGTATTTTTGAATGTGTTGTTTTAGATCTGTGTACCCCTAGGTGCATAAATATTAATAACTCTTGTACTTTCTTGCTGAATTGTTTCTTGATCTTTGTGTATTCGTTTTGTTCCTAGTTACATTTTTTTTTGCTGAAAGTCTAGTTTATCCAATATGTGAATAGCAGTTTCTACCTTTTCTTTGTATATTATTACCTTGTAACACTATGCTCCAACCTTTTACTTTTAGTTTGTTTTTGTCATCTGATCTTAAAATGGATCTCTTGTTTACAAAGTATACAAGCGGCTGAAATTTTTTGGCCCGCTTTTTCATACTGTGCCTTTTAATTGGTGTGTTCAGACCATTCATACTTAGTGTAATTTTATTTTCATTTTGTATTTTGATATTTGATTGTTTTATTTTCCTGTTGTTTCTTTTCCTATTTGTTTCTCTCTGCTCTTTCTGTATGCCTTACACTAGTGAATCCATCAGTTTCTTTCTTTGTAAGCCTCTGTTCTGGAGTTTTGGTTAGTGTTTACCATGGGGGTTTTGCTTGAATTACTATGCCTAAAGTCTTTTATGAGCTAGTGTTTGCTCTCTGACATCTAACTATACAGATTTCTTCCACTTCTTCCTCCCCTTTAATGTTTTGTTATTAACTCAGTCTCGTTTTCTATTTTTATTGTCATTTGCTCAGGATTTGTGCTTAATACATTCTTTTTTTGGTAGAACTCCTTTTAACATTTTTTTGTAGGGCAGATCTGCTGGTAATTAACTCCATTTATTTCTGTTTTTCTAGGAAAACCTTTATCTTCATATTTGAATTACCATTTTGCACTTTCTTCCACTCTCTTCTTGCTTGGAGAGCCACAAAATGTGAGGACAGTCTAATTTGAGTACCTTTGTAAAAATTTTTTTCTTGTTTCCTATAACTTTTTACTTTGATTTTTGATAATTTGACAATGATGTCTTTTTTTTTTTTTTTAAAGATTTAT